AATTAAAATATAAAAATTTTATTTTTTCACGTTGGATAAATTTGAGAAATAAATTTGTCTATTAAATGGAAAGAAGGAAAAATGATGCTATCGAAAAAACTTTGGTACGTTTTCGAACGATACTTAAATACACACATATATCCGGTGACTTCGAATGAGTAGTTGAATATATATATATATATATATATATATATAATACAAAAGTCACAGCATCAGGTGTCTCTTGGCGTCACTCACATCGTTCCTCTTCTTCTTCTTCTTACTTCAACTTGCTCATAAAACTTTCTTTTCGTCGTTTACTTTTATTTGTTCCATTTCTCTTTCTCATTTTCGAAGAAAGAAAAGAAAGAAAATGAGAAAGAGAGAGAGAGAAAGAGAGATAGAAAGGATAGCTGATTTCAACAACAACAAAGTCTTCACACTGATCGTTCGATTTCAAAAGAATTGACTATTCTATAGCACAGAAAAAAAAGGATGATAAAGGAAAGAAAATAGATGAAAGAAGAATGATCAGATGATGATAGAAACAGAGTTTTATATATATATATATAAAAAAAAAAAAAAAGTGAAATCGATGAAAAGCACATAAAAAAACAACGAACAAAGGTGTAAAAGTTTGTGAGAGAAAGGTGAAATAGAAAAATATAGAAAAAAAAATATATATATAAAATATATCTCGTGTGAATAATCATCGTTGAGTTAACTCTTTTCGGATGTATTCAATTTGGACATGGGTGTCGTAGTGGTCAGAATTAATTTATATATATATAAATAAATTAATTAAGTAACTCTATTAATTTTTATATATAAATAAGTTAATTTGTATATATATATAAGATTAGCACGGTTTCTTATGTTGTGACTGAGAGTGGATACGCGTCCTAAAAGGTTTAAAATATCTGATGAAATTCGGAAAGAGACAATTTGGTCACAAATGATATTGTTTACGTACCGGGTATCGATTTACCAAGGTCGAGATACTCTCTGACAGATGGACTGAGAAATCCAGGTGGTACTGCTGGTGCCTCGTTCGTTGGATTATTCCTTTCGTCCACTGGTTCGGTTTCCTCATCGTAATAATAATCCTCCTCTTCTTCCTCCGATTCGATTGGTTTAGCCCTCTTTGATATCTTACTGCCAACAACAACACCTCTTCGATCGCCATCTGAAATAAATATTAATATACAGATAAGTTTAGATAAATTTAACACGGATTGTACATTTCATTTGATTCATTTCTTTATTTCGAGTTTGTATATAAAAGTATTTTTATTTTTTATTTTTTGTCTTTTGTTCTTTTTATCGACAATTTTTAATATTTTATTCATATTAAAATATTAAAATATTATTTCTCAACACGTGAAACTCAATAATTTCAATTTTAATCTTCCATAATAATTTTCGCGCAAAATAAAAAAAAATAAAAACAATTCAAATAAAATCTCATGTCAAATAAATTTCCTATTGATTTTAACAAAACAAATAATAATAACATATACGAATAAAAGATGAGAAATTCGTTTTTCTGAAGGATCAACAAAAAATAAAAGGAGTACACAACACACTTTGGATGTATTCGAAAAAAAAACTAAACGAAACTAAACGAAACGAAAACGAGAATCGAAATCGAACTCATAGCTGAGTAACGTTAAAGAAGAATGAAAAGCAATCGTTTTTCCTTCTTTTTTTTCTCTTCAAAAACGAAGATGAGAAACTTGGTAGAAAGATTGTGAAAATGACAAGTGGAAAGAAAGGTGTATAGGAAAAAGATGGTTTGCTGGAATGAAAGGAAGAAAAAAGAAAAGGAAAGATTCTTCTCTTCTAAACGAAAAATCGTTTAAACGGTTGGCTTTTTAATGGCGTAAAGGAAAGATTCAACGCCTTTGTACTCCTTCGAGTTTCCTCTCTCTCTCTCTCGCTCTCTTTCTTTCTCATACATATACATTCACAAACAAACACATTTAGAAACACATATAATCTTCATCCAACCATCTTTAACCAAAACATCTTTGGTTGGTTCCTCTTTCTCACCGTCTTCTTCATTCCCTCTACTTTTCTTCTTTCATTTCTTCAACCAACAACAACACAACAACAACAACACAACAACAACAACACATCTACTTGCGCATGAAAACGTCTTTACTTGTATATATACGTGTGTTGTTTCAACGTATATGTGCAGTCAAATGCTTGCTACTATTCTATATACACGCCAACGCGAATTTTCTCATCAAAGGAGAACTAATTACGCAGGTATCCGTTGGTACCCACCCACCCCCAACCACCAGCACCCCTACCAACACCACTACTAACACACCAGGATCGAAGTTACGATTCTCAACGTTTTGCGATGAAATTTCCTAAAGTAAGAGTAGACCTTTCTGGATAGTGAAGAGAGAACGAAATGGAGAGGGGCTGAAAGGAGGGTTGGAAAGGTTGGTATTTGGCAAAAGATGAAAACGTAGGAACGAACGAACGAACGGACAATGGTTCGGGGCTAAATTCACATAGTATGACGTATTTTAACTCTTCCTTTCCTCTTTCTAGTTTGGGTATTAAACTACCAAGCTACCTGGTTTAAATAATTAATCGATCTAAAGCACTAACCCCTTCTCTTCTACTTCCCATTCCCACTTTCTCTTTCTCTCCCTCTCTCTCTCGCTCTCTCTCTCTCTCTCTGTTTCACTGCAAATTCCTTTTCCATACCCTTTCTCTTATACATCCTCCACCTAACACGTTTTCCTACAAACATACACATGGTGTTTCCTGACGTTCTTCTCATGTTAGGATATCGAGGATCCCTAACGTGGAATGAATTTTAGGAGGTTGAAAGTTAGAGATTTCGGAATGAATTTGAAACTAAACTTCTACGTGAGACCTGGACTCGTTCAAGGTGTACATATCAATTCCTTTTACAGGGGGGTTTCATGGGTTTTCTTGTCTATTATGACGTTACGGTTTTTGGTTTTCAAAAAAGTTTTCAACAAGTTTTCTTAAATTTTATTCTGATTCATTTTGGAACTTCAAATTAGGTATAAAACAACACACACATAAATGTTTAATATATTTATAATATATATAAATAAATATATTATATATTAAATATTATTTATATAATATATAAGTAAAAGCACACACACAAAGTAATACCACAATTACAATGGAATACATATAATAATAATAATACTTAACAAACTATAAAAAGCAAGGTTAAGTTATGTCGTATATAAACGACTTAATTTTTCGATTTAATTTCTTTTTGTTTATTTTTTTTTCTTTTTTTGTTTATTTAGTTTGCATGTCTTCAGAAAGTAAAGGATAATGAGAAAGAAAAATTAATCAATCTTTCTTCTTCATCTAATTCAACGTTAGCAATCTTTCTTCATTATACTTCATTTGATCATGATTTTCCATTAGGTTATACATCTCTGACGTATTTTCCTCTCTCTCTCTCTCTCTCTCTCTCTCTCTCTCTCTCTCTCTCTCTCTCTCTCTCTCTCTCTTCTCTTTCTTTCTTTCTCTCTGTCACTCGAGATGAAAAGAAGAGGGTTGGGGAAAGGTGTAGACACATGAGAAAGACTAAGAGAGAGAAAGTGTCAAGCTTCCTTCCCAAATGAAGGAAAATCCAAGCCGAATGTGCTTTAGAGTTTCTCTCACTTCGTAAAGGTGGTATATTCAGTAATTTTACCTAAAGTTAGTATTTGAAAGCTTTGTCAAGATTCCTTTTGGGTTCTATTAAATCAATTATATTCTGTTGAAAGACAGAAAAGAAAGAAAAAAAAGGAAATTAACTGATCAAAATAATTACGAATATTAATTCTTTCAAATAAATCTTTGAAAAATGTTATTTTTGTTTTCTTCATTTTTCTATTTCTTATCTTCTTGAAATTCTATGAGAAATTACGAAAATTCCTGACACACACAAACGAAATTCCATTGAAATATTAAAATGAATGAAGTTAAACGAATGATAGATCGATGTCTCTCAGAATTCACATTAATGTATAATTAAATAATAAAAAGGTTCACTTTTATGTCGTCAAACAGCAATTTTATTGAAGAAGAAGGATAAAAAAAAAGAAATCGTCTTTTCTTTGAAATACGGGGGGAATGTATGGCTAATTATTTAATGAAATATTACATCTCTTCTTTTATCAAAAATTCATTAGCAAAAGGAAGAGAGAAAAAGAAAATACGAAAAGAATTGAAGTTAAATAGAAAGAGAAATAAATGTGTAAAATGGGATAAAACAAAAAAACAGAGGTTAGGTTTAAGTTGGGGGTGAGATGGAGGAATAAGCGGTGAACTTATAACGACACAGACTAGTTACTATAATATGACTACTACTACTACAATTTGGAAGCAGACGTTTCATAAAATATTTAGCAACTGCAAGTAGATACTGAACGAAAACCATACAGCCACCCCACCCCACCCTATGGTGAAATTCTCAAAAAACTAGAAGTTGGGATAATATTTGTTATGTTAACCGTGCTGATTAAACGGACTTTAATTATTCGACAGCGAAAAGAGAAGCGAATAATTATCAAATATTCTCGATGAGCTATTCATTTATAAAACCATCAACCCCCCCTTCGAGTTACCAGCACCACTACCATCACACATTAACTTAAATAATCTCAATACTTAGGAAAAAATATTGAAATATTTTTTTCAATCGTAGTATTACACTTTTTGTGTATAATAAATAAAATTTTTTACATACAAAAGTTAATACAAAGTAAGTTGATACAAAAATTTACTATTTTTGAATTAACCTGTATGTACACCTGAAATACTAAAAGTATTATTTTTGTATTAAATATGAATTGCGTAAAATATATATTTAATATTATTAATATATAATTATATTATATATAATTATGTATTATATAATAAATAAACATTGAGAATATTTTTAAATGAAAATAGAATCAATAGTGATTAAAATAGAATAATCAAGGAAACAGATCGCAAAGAGCATTCCCGTTCATCTCAAGCTTTTCATTACTATTCCAATGATATGTTAGAACAAGTTGCTTACTCATCCGTATATTTGATAATTAGTCTATCATAGGTAGGCTGCTTAATTAATACGTTTCCCGTTCGACGTTAAGGTCCTTATTAATTACCGATCTTCTCTTTGTTTATAAACGAAATTCACGACGACGATTCCCTTTTGGTATAAATCATTCGTTTCTTTAAATAATATCAATTTTCATTTTAGATTTCTCCTTTTAAACAACACCAATTAAAAAAGAACTTTTATTATAATACATAAACCAAAAACAACAACAACAAAACAAAATTAAATTTAAAAATTATTGAATAATTAATCATTGTTTTCGTAAGTTTAAAAATAAGAAGAAATTATTTATCGAAGTTTTAAATGCGATAAACAAAGATCTTAAAATTATTAAAATAACCAATTATTATTCGTAAGATTAAAAAATAAGAAAAAATTATTTATCAAAGTTTGAAGTAAAATAAATTGGGTGAGCCGTTGAAAGTGGGATGAATGGAAGAAAGGTGGGGGTGGTGGGTGTGGGGTTCAATAATAATGTAGGTTTTTCGATATATATGATATAATAATACACGTGTGTGTGTATGTGTGTAGAAATAGCGAAAGGAAGAACGGAGTAGTCATGCTTTGTCATCACGGTTCTTTGTTTTTCGTTGGTTCGTGCGACACACAAGAGTTAGAGAGAGAGAGAGAGAGAGAGAGAGAGAGAGAGAGAGAGAGAACATTCGGTATTGTTCCTATTTTCAATTCATCCGCAATATTTTGATGCATAAAGTTTACTTCGTCGATGAGTTAATTAGCTTCCTCCGTCACAAATTCCCAACAACACCATAGCCAATACTACTATTACTACTACCAGTACTAGTACACAATCACAACTACATCCCAACAATTTCTATCTGTATTTAATAGGATCAACGAAAATCGTCATTATTTAACTTCCTCACCCATGTAGAATTATTCCCTTTTGCCAACTGTATCTCTTTCTATTTATTTCCATATACAGGGTGATTCACCAGCTCTTGCCACCAAAATAACTCAACAGAAAAGTGAATAAGGAAAAAGTTGCATGCAAAATTCAGGACTACAATATAACATTAGTATTTTTTTTTTCTAAGTTGAATCATTTTCGAGATTTATTGGTTAACTTTGTTTCTATTGATCAATGTAAACTATTGTGTAGATAAAAAAAAGCTAATAGTGTAAAAAAAAATAAAAAGTTCTGTTTTAAAAAAATTTTTGCCTTTATGATCTTTTTCTATTGTTATTTAAAAAAAAGTTATTACCCGCCTCCGTTGCAAGAATCACCCTGTATACATACATACATATATACACATATATATATACTTTTCACAAGATTCATAATCGTCATAACGCCCGGTTAAGTTCGAATTACGAAGATTATCTATTTTATAGGAGATAAACATATCAAACAATCCAAACCCTGACGAGGGAAAGGGAGAGGGGGTTGTTTCTTATCAGTTAGAATTTTTCGCGGTTTAAATCCCCCCCCCCTTCCTTCTCCCCCTGTCTGTCAACGCATCGAGGTTTTTCAACACAAAATATAGAAATGTCGTTAGAAAAGAACGTTCTTTGTTTGAGGTTGTTAACGAAACAAAAAATAAAAAGAAACAAACCCCTAACTTCAATCACCCAAACTACTACCTTTTCACCACCACATTCTCTATATTCTTCTAACTCCTTTCCCACCCTTATCCTTTTTCTCTTGATCCAAACAAAATTTGTTGTCTTTTCTGGCATCAGTCTAATTCATTGTTTCATACTTTATCTATTCATCTATTTGATATCTTTATCTATCTTTAATGTCAAATTCTGTCAGTATTTTCTATCTTTCTCTTTCTATCTCAGTGTCTTTTTTTGCTTTCCTCCCCTTCCAACCACCCCCCAGCCCTACTCCTCATTGAAGCTGTCTTTTGCTCACTTTTGTTCGTTCGTTCGATCGTTCATTTGTTTCGTACATTCGTTTCGTACATTCGTTTCGTTTCGTTTCGTTCGAAACCACCACCATCACCTACCACCCACCTGCATCCTTCTCGTTCCGAGCAAATTTTCATGCAGCAGCAAAGCGATATTAAAGTGCCGTTTCCCTGGGTTATTTGCGCGTCGGCAAACGCAGGAAATAGCTCACCGTTTCTACCTTCTACACCTCTCCTCCCTTTTTTACCCCTTAACCCATCCCCTTTCTACCCTCTCACTCCGTCAGATCTTTTTCCCCGTTGATTTTGCGTTGTCGTCTTTATTTCCATCCTGCCGTTCTACGTGAGAATAACTCAAGAGATAAATAGATAAATAGATAGTTAGATATATACAATATACAGGGTGATCGGTACTTACGTATTAACGCCACCGCAGCAGAAATTCCGCTAATGCGCCAATAAAGAGCAATCTTGTTGTTCGTACACAACAACCTTGTAGTTTGCACACAGCAACCTTCAGGATTTCGTCAGTGGTTTCGTCATTATAATTAAGAATATTATTACAATGACATTATTATTATAAATTCTAAAAATATTAAATTTGTTTTCCAATTATTTTTGTATATATTTGACGAAATTATAATTTTGATGAAAATCCAATAATTTGACCAATTCAACAGTTTAAGTTTCACAATTTTATTGCACGTATTTTTGAAGAATAAAACCAACGTTCAAATTATGTCGATGATGAATACGAGAGATAAAGAAAAAACGATTTATATATACATATATAAATATGTATAAAAAATAATGTAATGCAAGTAGGTAAAGCTCGGAAGAACAGACTCAACAGTAGTTTGTTGCATTTATACTAAAGCAGTTGGTACGAGATGACGACTCGTCGTCACTGTCAATGTAAATATCACATATCTCGACGTGAAGGGACTCTTCATCTCTTTTCTATTTGTTTTGTTATGTACCCTGACGCGACAGAATGACGTCACTTCTCTCTTCCACATTTCTCCCTTTTTTCTTTTTTTTTAAACGTCTCCGTTCCTTTTTCCTTGTTTTTACAAACTCCTACCTTATTGATTTCTAACTTCAATAGATTATGCTTCTCCCCTTTCGTTACTTTTTCCCTCTTCCCACCACTATCTACCATCTTGTTATTCAACTGTATATAAATTCTCATTTTCCTTTGTTACTAGTCTTAATCGTCAGGGTTGATATTATTTTTATTTTTTTTACATCTGATGATGATATATCACAACTGTGACTAGTTTTCAAAACGACGTTGGGAAATCATTTCAAATATCATTTATTCTCTTACGCGTATTATTTGATTTCGTTTTATTTGAATTTAATTTTTTTTTTTTATAATAATATATATATATATATTTTATTTTATTTTATTTTATTTTATTTTATTTTATTTTATTTTATTTTATTTTATTTTATTTTATATTATATTACCATATATATTAAAGTTGTGATTTACACATTGACAGTAAAAAATATTAAAACTATTAATAAAATAAATATATATATATATATATGTATATTGAAAGGAAAGAAAATTAAAAAGTGATACCAAATTTTTGGTTTAAAATAGAAAAAATGAAGTAAAAAAAAGTATTACAAAATAGATCTTTATCGAAAGTTTCTATTTCCCTGGTACTATTTTCTATGGATTTTACCGTGCTTATAGATCTGCTACCTATATATATATATATTTCTTACTAGATTCTATTGAAAAAGTTCTGTAGAACGTTTAAGCACGTAGTCCAGCTTTGACCGTAGCCGTTAAAAAAGAGTCTTTGACGTTGCATGCGAACATGAATTCTCGATTTTTCCTTTACTTTCGTTTCGTTTCGTTTAGTTTCGTTTCTTGAAAGAGTTTTAAAAAGCGTGTGCACTATGAGATTCTATAAAATCTATACCACGGTTTGATAGGAATAGGGTGGTGCCTGGGGATGGGCAGTTTATGTCTCGTGATCTTTGTTTCTAAAAAATACAAAAAAAAATCTAAATAATCATTTTAGTTGAACCTTTGAAATATTTAAACATTTAAAATCGGTTAAAAGTTAGTCGAGGTAAAATCGGCAAAAAAGTTATAAACTTAAACGAATATATATGAGAGATAAGTGAACGTACAAAACTCGAATAAAATTTAAATTCTCAAGGACACATTTGACCGATCGTAAGGAATGATCTTCTTTGATAGAAAAACTTTCTGTCTCGCAACTACTTAACCAATCTTCGATCAAGATGAGACTTAGAGAACATTAATTAGTACTTGTACGGTAAACAACCATAAACGATCTGTAATTGGTCATTGGTAATGGTTTTCATCGCAAATGGATTAACAGCTATATCTATGTATACTAATATATAACTTATATATACTATATATAATTATAATAATTATAATAAGTATATAATATAACAATATTGTTCATAGATATGCATTTCAATTCTAAATCTTTTCTATTATTTATATTATAAATAGATTAAAATTTTCTTACTACTCTTATGTTACATTAAACTTTTATACAAATTCTAAACACTTATATAATAAAATAAATTTTATGCATTTATTTATTTCATGTGTATGTGTGTGTATTCTGTTTGTAACACCAGCACGTTTCTACGATTATTTTTCGAGAACAAATAGATGTCACGTATTCTTCTTGTTTCGTTATTTTCTTTAAACGAAATAGATTGAAAATATTTAAAAAAAACATAAAACCTCAATCAAACATCGTTGAAAACAATTTTATTACAAATTTCTTTTCAAAAGAAAAAAGAAAGAACAAAATAAAGAATGTATATTTAATTTATTTAATTTTACTTTAACAATAAATACACACACACAAACACAAACATACATACAGTCAGTAACGGATTAGAATGGAAACGTAAACTTATACTAAACACGTTGCCATTCCAATTATCGTCGGATCTGTGTTAATACATAAGCGAATGAAGATTTCTTGGAAACCGTGTTAATTGAAATCTTCGTTTAGATCTATCGAATACTAGATAAGGGTTGTGGTGATGTTAGTAGTGAAACAGGGGTAGAAAGGGTGGAAAGATAGATCTGTATCGAATGTAAGGATTCACCTGATGAGATAATAGTGTTTCTCATCTCTCGGTTGCTTTACGTAATGCAAACGTAATACGGTATTATACATCATCAATGAAAACACGATAAATTAATGGCAGAATTTTCTTTGAAGGGATGAGAGAGAGAGAGAGAGAGAGAGGATAAAAATAAGATCATAAAAATTAATAATTGTTCTTTAAAAAAAAAAACATCATATATCAATCTTAAATAATTTAATCTAATAGAATATCTGTAAATAAATTTCTTATTTTCTTTTGTGAATGAAACATTAAATTTACGAATGTTTTTGTTTATTAGTTTGTAATTATTTACAAACATTGTTTGATTGAAAAGATTGAGTAGACGGGGTGGAATTAATATTTACGTATATTTCATTACGTAATCTAAAGGAAAAAAAGAACCCTAGTGTGCACGTGCTCGAACAAGTTTTGTGACGAGTTATTTTTGTTGAATAAGAAGAAGAAGAAGAAGAAGAAGAAATAAAAGTGATGGAATAGTAGTAGTTTCATTAGTAGTAGTAATCTTATATTAGGAAATGAACACACTGACAACACCACACTACGATACAAACTCTCGATTCTCGATGGAATTAAAGATTCTCACGAGAGGAATTTCAGTTTCTTACTTGGTAAAGTATAAACGTGCTTTCAAACTGGCTCATTCATTCCTCTTCTCATGAGAAACTGTTAAATTTGGTGTCGGTTTTGGCCCTCGTTTAAAATGAATACTTAAATCTAAATAAATGCATGAAAATAAAGACCAAAAAAAAAAGAAAGAGAAAAGAAAAAGGGAGAGAAAAAAACCAAAAACAAAAAGAAAGAATTGATTGAAAAGGAATTCGAACGAATGATTGAAAATGTTCAAGGTAAATCGAATAAAATTTGATTACTTGTTAAAACGTGAAATGATTTTATGAAGACACGTGGGTATAAATGTGTACTTGTGTGTATGTATGTGTATCTATTCAGAGAGAAAGAGAGAATACGATCAATGCTACTCATAAACCATATATATAAATAATTTGGATGTTCTCATAATCCATAATCGAATTACGTCATATTTTGTTCTCTCATTCGTCATTTGACATCCCAGATTATAATAATTTACATTAATTAGTATTTCAGCTTTGGATAACGGGATCACGTTTGAATCCTCTTCTTTTTTTTATTATTTTTTTTTTAGTATCGATAAAATAATTTATATCATAGAAGGTACTTTGTGTTTTATGTGAAAATAATCGGTTGTTGTTCGTTATAGTGTTGTATTACTATAAAAGGTATTCAAAAGGTACCTTACAAATACTATCACCAGTTGATTGTGTTTGTCCGCATGTGTGTATGTATGTCGTAACATTTTTGTTTTAAAAAAGGATTAATTAATTCCCAATAGAAAGTAGTAAAAATTCTCACGCGCCATATAGAATAAATATTTTCACTGTTATTTAGTGGAAACAAAAAAAAAAGGAAACAAATATTTTCTTATTAGTACAATCAACTTGACGAATTTGTGTCAAATCCAAGAAGAATGTAATAAATAAAAAAGAAGAAGAGAAAAATAAATATAAAAAAAATATCATGTGTGCAGATCACACGTGTTAAAAGTGAAACCTTCTATTAATTAATTATTAATTATATTATATTAAAAAATAATAATTGTTAATACAAAAAAAAATATATTTGACGTTGGGTCAGGAAAGATCCCATTAACCGGGTTTTTACCAGACCGCAATTTCTAGAATTAATTAAATAATTAATTACTAAATACATTAGGTTATTGTTAACGTAACAATGCGTTAATTAACCCATCTATTTAACTACCAGTTAGAGTTCAGGTCATGTTTAACGAAATTTAAGTGGCGGAAAGAGTTGGACGAAAATGGTAACCGACCGAGAAAAAAATGGAAAAATAAAAAGGAAAATAAAAAAAATAATAATAATTCTATTCTCGTGGGATGTAGATAATAGTAGATACGATATTTTATTTAAGTCGACATACAAGGGACAATCGAATAATTTCGTTGGTATTTGTAAAAGAAGACATTTTTTCTTCCTATAGCAAAGTGAATGATAAAATAACCAACTAGTCTCCAAGAAAAGACGTTTTATATATAATAAAAGAGGTTTTTTTACGAACCACCAAGTTGACATTTTCTTCATTTTATCTTTCTTTTTTTTTTTTTAATCTTTTTAATCTTTTTTACGATTCTTACCGATTTATCCATTCAAACTGAATTTTTTTTTTTTTATTCCGTCACGTAACCCACTTTATCTTTGAATACTATTCCTTATTTGTAAATTAATAACATTTTAATAAATAATTATTACAAATAAAAATACGAATGTGAGATTTTTGTCTATGCAAATCTTTTATTTGAACATTATTTTTTT